CAAAAAAGAACTTCATATTTCTATTCTTTCCCTTGGTTTTGACTTTCTTATTAGCTGCCAGGCGGCGGCTTTCGGCCATTTGGCGGCTGATTGCCTTTCGGTGGTCGTATTTCACGGGCAGGCAAAGCACTGGGGCCTGTGTTTGCCCCGCCAGCCCCAGGTGCCGTGACCATGCTCCTCATCGCCGAAACAAAGGACCCCCCCTCGCCCGAAGTAGAGGATGGTGCAGAAACCGATTCCACAGGAGGCGAGTCAAGTGTCTGTGCGACACCTTTACCCTCTCTGTGTCTTTCAACGCACTCTTCCAGCGTTGACCTGTTTCGTTCAATACATTGAATCATATTATCAAGGATCGCAACCTCCCCTTGCGGTCTGGAGGTAGATAACCCGTGTAGCACGACATCATAGATGACGTCAATACCATGGTTTTGTACATAACGACCTTCCACCGTATTCACAATGCAGGGGCGCTCCTTCGATGGTTGTGAGCCATTCTGCTGGTTCTCCGTGTCATTGTTGGAAGTCGCCTCTTTACTTGCAAAAGCAGGGGGTATTTTTAAGTAGCGTTTCTTACAGTATTCCTCGTGCAGAAAGCCAAGCGTATTCATCGTACCACCATAGTTAAACAACATGACCGCAGCTGCACGCCAGGGCTCCTCCCTGCAGTCAGTTTGCCATGAAAGCAGTACCGCCAAGCGGTATGCCTTAGCTGCCGTCATATCATTTGTTGCGACAAGTGCCCTTAAAAAGGACGCATACGTTCTTGCTGGCTCCTGCCCAGCCACTTTAACTACCGGTAAAACGGCCGCACGGTGAATACCTACTCCAGTATCACGGCCCACAACATGAGACACAAACAAATCCGAACTTTGATTATAAGGGATCCCTCGACGGACTGAAAGCATCTTTCCCGTCCCATTTGACGACGGTGACGGCGACGACGACGACAACGACGACGACGACAATGACCTTGCGCATGAGATTTCGCTCCGCTCTGCGGGTATTACTTCATGAATAAACAAGGCAGTTGATCCACTCCGTGCAGGAACCTTGCCCTTGATGAATGCATACGTCGGAATCCCAGCGCGAACAGTACCCAATACCCTCCCCAGCCAATGCTCCCATGGAACATTATGCCACAATCCTCCATCTTCCACGTTATTGCTTCCTTTCGAGTGTCGCGCGTGGGTCGTGTCCTTCATTGAGGCGCATCCAAAGCCGCTGGTGTTCACATAGGTCACCATATTTGTCCCGGGACGAAAGGATGACTCTGATACGCTCATGGTAGGCCGAACAGTGATTGGAGTAATAACACGCGTAATAACAGGGGATCTCGCTAGGGGACTAGACCAAGGAACCTCTGCCGAACAAATTAAGTCCCACGGGCGATTTGCTTTGAATACGGCCCATTGAAGCAAGCATGAAGCCCCGTCTGTGGAGTTCCAAAGTGCAGGAAAAGGGATGGGAATTTGACTCGGAGCCCATGTATCAATGAAGCATATTTGGCCCACTTCAGAGGGAGGTACATGTGATTTTAACGCAGGCGGAGGCAGAAGCCCCTCAACAGGTCCCAGTAACCGGCGATAGAGCTTTTCAAGAAGACCTGTCCAACGAGTTCGAATAACCCGTCGTATTTTAATGGCATCTTTTGGAGGATGTGTTTGTGACATCACATCATACAAAAGTTCAAGCTCTTTCAATTCACGAGCAGCGTTTTCGTCCGAGACAATAGGTGCACCTGCCACGTCACCGTCCCTGACAACATAGGCATACGCCTGATTGCGTGAGACACGACTATACATAACGATGCTTACAGCCTGTTGAAGACTGTATTCTCGTAGCTGCCGTACAAGTGCAGTTGGGCCGTTGTCTGTTATCCATCGTATTGTGGGGTCCAAGACGGGAAACAGTTGGAATTCACCCGGCAGAGACGATTGACTATTGGAACCAACTTTCTTCTCTTGTTGACGGGCCGATATGTGGGCTGTGATTAATTCCTTACCGCTATTAAAGAGAAGGCGCCCCAATGCAGCAGCAAAGGCGTTGGAAACATCTTCTTGCTCAATAAACCAGTGCTCGCCCTCGTTCCAGGATTGCTGCCCAATCAGGAACAACTTCCTCAGTGAGGCAGAGTTAGTCGGGGGTCATAAGGTAGCTCTCCATGGTGCGCAGAAGGGCGTGGTGGACATCACGCAGTCGACACGACAGTTCGTTCTTCAAACCTTCTACAGCGGCTGAGTTCCGAACCGCCGAACTACGCCGCTCCTTTGCAATTTCCCATGCACGATACACCAGTTGTAATTCTTGAACCAATGGATCAATCAGAGGATCTTCTTCTGGGCGTGTATTCGTATTTGTAGACTCCATCGCTGCGGTGCTCGAGGTGCCTTCCAGTGACGCGGTCCATGATGACTCAAGATTGCTGCTAGTCTCGCTTACATCCATGTCCAGCAGCAAGCCTTCCTCCATCGGAGATGCTCCAGCGCCTGTGAAGTCCTCTGAAAAGGATTCCGTTTGGAGGTGACCTGTTGTCAGCGTACGGGCAAAGTTGCCCTTACCTAGAGTTTTTGTAGCCTCCATACTGTACACCTTCTTCGCGTGGCGTATCAACCACATGGGGGATGTCTCGTCCCGCCACTGTGGAGGAGAATTGATAACACTGAGGAAAAACTCGTCGTGTGTCTCGATCCACCGCAGCAGGCCTGGCTCCTCCTCCTGTATTGTAGTGAGCACATCTTTTAATCGACCGGGGTCACGATCAACGTATTCCACAATGCACACCATAACGGGGTGGTCCTGGAAGGACTCAGGAAAGTGGCCGCGTTGGCCCTTTACAAGCAGGAAAAGGTGACGCAGGCCACGTCGACCGAGCATGAACACCAGTGGCTTAAGGAACCGGTACAACCCCTTGTCGTTTGGGCCAACTCGGATGCTCATGCCGTCATCCACAGCCGAGACCACGGGAACAAAAAGAGGCTTTTTGTCGCCGACAGCCTGCTGCGCGGCGTGGGTCTCCTTCGCAGCGTCCACAAACTTCGCCCTTGCGGCATGCGCCGTTTTCCTCAGCGCGGGCCTTCCCATTACCAAAACGCACTCACCCTGCGGGGGGGTGACTTGTTCCAACAGGCGCTGGTCGGGCTCCGGGACCCCCCGCCGCCTGGCGTAGATGGGCCGGCTGCCCACAAACAGCCTGACGCTCTCACGCTCGAAGTGCAGCTGCTCAACAGCAACATCCACCAGGTGCTGCACGGTGAACGGGGGGTCAACAGAGCACTTTCTACCCGCCACCGTTTTCAGCTCAATCGTTCGTGGCGCATCAGACTGAGACATCTCCCCCGAACACTAACACAGGGAATAACCAGGGCCCACAGACGCGTACGAATCAAAGAAAAAAAACGGCAGAAACAAAAGCAGAAAAACTACAACTTTTTTTTTGTTTTAATCTGCACCCTACAACTGCAGCCAAGCTCTCCCCGTGTGGAAGTCTAATGTGTATAATAATACAAAATATTTACAAACCTACTAGAAAAAAAAAAAAAAACAGGGTGACAAAATTCCCGTCTTCCCCTCCCCCACCCCCTTCTTGCCGGTTGCCCCCTGCTTTTCCGGCCACGGCGAACCGCTGAAGCCGCGGAGAAGAGGCCTCAGGAGAACACGCGGTTGGCCAAGCAAGAACAACCACCGAAGACAAAGAGGGAGCCAAAAGGAAAAAGGAGACACCACCACCTACCGGAAATTCCGCGGGCAAAGGACCTAAAGAAAAAAAGAAAGCGAGAGAGACATGATACATATATAATGCAGAAATATATAAAAAAGAGCCATCACGAGCGCCGCAAATGATTTTCGCTGCGGCCATCCCACAAAAAATGGCGCGCGTCGCCACGGAGAGAGAAGTGGCCAAGAGTGCCGAGGCGCAGTACAAAACAAAAATTCCGAGAGAACGCGCGCGAAAAAGGGAGTTGGAGAGCAAAGAGCAAAAACACACAAAAAAGCAGGTAAAAGGAAAAACAGTGAAACAGAGGTACAGCAAAAAGGATCCGACTGTGTGCAAGACAGCCGTCGCACGCGGGGCTTGAGAGGGCACACAGGTGTGTCTTCCCCCATCAAAGAAACACACAAGTAGAAACACAGACATCAATGCATGCGATGCTCGATTGCAATAAGTGCGACCCCATATACCCGCTCATCGGCGTTTGTGTGTATATAATGCGAACGCGGTTTAGAAGAAGAATCGGGGAAGGAGTCAAAAAAAAAAAAGTGTGTGAACACGGGCGCGTGCACACACGCAGCGCGCACACCGGTGGGGGTATTGGCCTCATCAGCAAACTGATCAAACGATGAGATGGGGGCAGAACAGGCCCTCCTACCACCCACAAAAAAAAAGACGTTGAACATTGCCTGTACGTAAAATACGCAGCAGGGGAAACAACAAATACACAAATAAGACGTCAAAAAAAAAGAAAGAAGTAGGCGCACTGGGGCAAATAAAACAAAACAAAAATCATGCGAAAGGGTTTTCTGGAAGCCAGGCAGTGTATGAAAAATGTCCCAGGCCATCCCACACATACACAGAAAAAAGGCGAATACAAAATGACACGGACAGGAACCTCCTACCCTGCACTCGGCGCCATCGATTCAGTGTCAAAGCCCTTTTTTTTTGCATTAAGTATATATTTGCGTTTTTGCGTGTGTGTGCGTGTGCGAAGGAGCTCAGCTGTGGCAGCAATGAGATGGGGCGTAGGGACTGGTCCGGCTTGTCTGGCCGTAATCGCGGCCACTTAAAATTGACAATTCCGGCGCTCATCCATCAAAACGGGAGCAAGAGAAAACAAAGACGGACAGATTCCAATCCCACGGCGACGAGGATATAACAGTAGTATATATATGTATATACATAGAAATAATATATGACCAATCTATAGCAAAAATACACATATTGTGCCAAAAAAAACAAAAACAACGGTATGCCGCGAAAAACGGAGATATCACCCTCGTAAGTCGGCAAGCATCCATACATACACACATATACACACACATATATATATATATATATGATCCCAATCGAAGTGGGAGCATCGATGCCACTTACGCAGGTAGATATATTGACGCATAGAGGATATATACATCCTGTTCGCTCCTTCGGGCCACCGTGGATCGCGCCGTGCTGCCTCCATCTTCGTACCTCCTCCTCTTCTCTCCTTCTCACAAAAGCCGCGGGCGCGACCTGCGCCCACCCACGCCAGCCCCTTCCACACCGCAGGGAGCATACACGGGACAATCAACACATAAAGAAAGTTACAAACAGAAAACCAAGCAACCAAGAAGCCGCAAACTACTTGCGGCGAATACCCCCGCAAACCATCCACACGCATCGACCAGAAAAAAAAAGCAATAAAAACAAAAAAAAATTAACATACAACCAAGAAATGAGCCGTTCGGGTGTCTGCTTGCTGGTGGAGAGGAAATACATGTGACCCAGAGCGTACACTTGAAAGTTGCCCATAAAATTTGACGTTAAACCCATGGTAAGTAAACGGCTCACGCTCCGAGATGGTAAAAGTGAGGCAATGTAGCCGCGTCGTACGCACCAAGGTCATATAAGAAGAATGGTACAAATACTCACCAAAAAAAAAGGGCAAAACAAACGACGATGAAAAGTAGGGAACATGGAAAAAATCAAGCTCTCAAACCATAACTACAACCACCCCATGCAGTAGCAATGACGGTAGAAAACGAACCATAACAGCATTAACTCACCTTCAAAGAAGCAACATACATAAAAAGAAAAAGACAAAAAAAAAAAATAACATTGTTTTTACCTCATTTACATGCATACATCCAGTTATTCCATACATAAATATATACAATTGGGATGAGGGGGTAAATTTCGTTGCGGTTCTGTCATACCCCTTTTAACAGACAATGCATTTCCGTTGCTCTTTTCCCCCTCATAGCGTTGCCTGTAACGGCGCCGCCACCTCCGGCCCCCCACGCACGCGTACATATACGTAGCCGGAGTCGCAGTTACAAAAGAAAATAATAAGGCAAGGCGAAGAAAGTACTTCTGTGGGCGTCAGCTTTCAATTTCATTCAGGTTTGTTTGTTTTTTTTCCCCCAACTTTTTTTTCTTCAGTCTTTTCCGCTCCTCCATTGTCCCCCATCAAACGCGCAAGAACGGCCCTTATTCCCTCGCTTTTTACACTTCTCCCCGCCACCGCCTGCGCCACCAGAGGCAACGACGAGAGAGTCGGGTAAAGTGTCCAACCAGAGGCGGCGGGCGGGGCAGTGACGAAGGGGGAGAGAACGAGGCAAGGTGTGCCGGGGAGAAGCATTGAAGAGGAATCATACCACGCAAAAAAATGAAAAGAAATAAAAAAATACATCAATGAGGGAGTGAATAGATGTGCGACCGCCATGAAGGCAAGTGAATCAATGATGTAACTCGAAGAAGAGTTCAACACGTCGAATGCGCCCCACGTCAACATTGGCAAAAGAATGCGAGGAGCAATAATAGAAAAGAACATAAAGTATCGTGAATGCTACAATGTCTGCACTATCCACGTGCACGGACAGTGCGGGTACGCAAGTAAGAAGAGCACAACGAGTGATGGACGGAGTGACTCCGTTGCCCTTCTTATCACCAGTCAATAAATGCTGCTGGTATTGTCCAGAGAACAAGTTTTTAAAAAGAGAAAGGCCCTCCACACCAAAGACAGGGAAAACCTGTTTTTTTTTTTCCTTCTTCTGCCCTGTGCTAAACACAAAGAACAAACGAATCAGCAATAGTGCACGCAGGCCAAAGCTGCCCACCCTGCAGACCAACCCCCCCCACCCCAAAGCTCCCCATGCATCCCCAGCAACGGAGGCACACGCACGCACATGTCGGCCAAAGAAGGAAGGCAGGGAGGGGGTTAGTGAAGGCAGGGGAACGTGCGACACAATCCCCGCACGAGAAATAGTAACAACCCAAGGAAAGAAACAAACAAACAAAAAAACACACACTATCACAAAAAAAAACTCCGTGCCAAACAATACATCATCCACCGCATTGCGTAACGGGGAACTGGACACGACTGAAATAAAAAGATGAAGTAGCAAAAACAACGGCTTGAGAAACCCCGCAACTCACAAATGGGATTAACGCTGTCATCACTCCTGCACTCACCGCACACCACACCACCAGCCCCCGGCCAAACCCCCACACCTCTCATTCTCCCTTTCCTCTTCCCCTTCCCACTCCTTCTTTTTATGCCGACAATTCGCTCGATTCCCCTCGTCTCGCTCTTTGAAGTGAAGAAATTTTTGTCTGGCCATTTTCCCCTAAGACTTTTTTTTCTTGTAACTCGTCTCTTCTTCTCTTGGTTAATCCGCCTTCTTCCATATTCCCCTCCGCCAATACGGAATACAGCAAAAAGTGAGAGGAAACAGTGCCAGGAAGGCGTTGCTCAGAAGGACTGAGTTTTTCCTCTCTTTTTTCCCCTTCTCTGTGGCCTCAGAAAACTCACACAGAAGCCACGCGCAGCCCGGCAGGCAACGGGTGGGCGCGAGCAACGGAGAGCACACAGAGGGTCAATAACGCCAGCCAATGCGAATTGGCAGTGGGGTCCCACAAAGGGCGGAAACAAGTGAGCAGGCCCTCGAGCAGAGAAGGAAAAGAAGAAAGTTCAGGCAAAACAGCACATAAGCCTTGGAAACAAATGGAGCAAGACACCACGCGTGATAATGACAACGAAAAACTGAGTGAAACAAACTAAGAATGCGAGAAGCAACTGCACACAAACGGAGCAGAAAAACAATATACGATGGTTACAAGAAAAAAAAACGACTGCAGTAATAACAACAAATGGGAGAAAAACAAACAAACAAACGGCGGGTTGACTAAGTACGCGGAGGGCGGGGGCAGGTGTCTTGGACAG